ACCAAACTTGATCCCCTCCGAGCTTTCAATTAGGTAGTCAAAATCTGGAAGAAGAAAAACTGCATAGTTCCATGCGCCCCGAGGTAGTGGTCGAAATAATACGGTAACCAACAGATGTGTAAATAGCACAATTTTCTGGCCACAGTAACGCTACAAAAACATTTTTTTTTCATACGGCGAGAGAATTGATCGCCAAAAAATTTACTTTCCACAGGCTTGAACTGACTCAAATAGGCTTAAGCTAATTTTTAAATCAGACCACACCCCTTTCTAGTCGCCATTTATTAGTCAGACCAGATTTTTCGACAGAAACAACTTTTTTGCTTCCGGATCTTCTTGGAATACCGGTCACGACCGAAAGGGCTTTAATTAAATATGACTCGACCTCGTAGGTCATTATTCAACTATGGTAACTAATTTTGGGTGCCAAAAACTCCACTTAGTCCATAATTTTTTCTTACATCTGGCAAGTCTCGAAAAATAAGCATATAAAAAACTTGAAAAACAACTTATTGGAAACATAAAGACATCATAAATAAAAGAAACAAAATTTACCTTTTTGGATAAAAATTACCTTCCAACCGCTCAAAAAAAAAGAACAGAGGCAAAACAGATCTATGCAAAAAGATGAAAGTCAAGAAAACATGCGAACAATTAAATATGGTGTTTTGCGAGTTTTTTTAAGAAGCAGTCAAAAGCATTTTGTTTAATTTTACAGGCAAAATTTCCGTTTGTCACCAAAAGGTGTTTTTAAGTGGGCTGCACTACGTTGAACTGTTGAGAAACTTTCGTTCGCTTTACACAAGCTAAGACGAAGTAGCTCAGAGGAACAAACTTCAACTGAATACAAAACGAAAACCAACTATCAAAGTAAAAATGATAACTTCAAATGATAAAATTTAAAATCTAGAAACTAACTATTTGAAACCAAAATAAAATAAAAGCTAAATACAGAAACTGATATTTTGCTTTAAAACATCTGAGTATTGAGAAACAGATAAACCTAACAAATCCATTTCAAAAAAGCTGACATCATTTTGACATTTCAAAATGATGAAATCTAAACATTTTGAAAAAATTATCAAGAAATCCAAAAATATTATTTTAGTACTTCACATAAACCGGCTACTTTCCACCACAATACAGCAGAAAGCAAGGAAAGTTAATCTATCAAAATTCAATTGTTGACAAAAAACTTACACTTTCGTTGAAAAGAAAAAACAGGAAAAATTCATATACTCGATGACATGCACAATTAAGATTTTGATAAATACAGACGTTTGCTCAATCAAAATTAACAGAAGTTTCGACCAAAGTTGTTGCATGAACGATGAAAACGAAAAAATTTCAGAAAATTTTAATGGTATTGTTCTATTTTTGTAACGTTAATTTAGTTTTTTTTGAAAATTCCTCGTAAATAGTAAATCATTTTCACACACAAAAAAGGTTTAAAAAACTAAATTTTCCCACAAAAATTTTCACACAAAACTAAAAACGTTTAAAAAATACATTGAAAAAATAAGCCAACAGAATTACAGCCGATCGACCTTTGGCTCCAAAAAATCCTCGGTAACGAAAAACCTATTTAACACAGAGGCGCAGCGGAGCTTCGTCTCACTTGCAATACAACACTAAAGGCTAGCGAATAGAAAATTAATGCGAAATAAAAAAAATCGAAAATAAGAATAAATTCAGAAAAACAGTAAAAAGACACAAACAGCGTTTAAAAATTTTAGCTTTCACTGAGCGGCCACAATGTCGCCAATGCCTGGGTAGATGCCCACTGAGTCGAAAACTAAAATTTTTGAAAACAAACTACCTGATATTTTTTTAGAAAAAAAATACAATCATTAATTACCCTTGAAGCGACATGAATCACAAACCAAGGTAACTAAGCCAATAAAAGATGAACCGAGGACATTTAGACGAATTAAGATTTTAAGCAAAAAAAACAAAAACTGAAAAAATACAAAGTCAAGGCTATAAAATTACAGGAACAGTTCAAAAACACTTGCATCTGCGATGAGAATTACTGACCGCAAAATATATTACTACCACTATGTGACATCTAACCGACAAAACGTAAGCAGAAAAACGAAACTCCAACAACAACTTTTCCCGGATACACACCCACACACACAGAAAAATTCCCAGACCTTAGGGTGTAGAGACAACCGCGTTACCTCTAGGGCAAATGGGAAGGAGTCTCGAAGTTGATTAAGTTCACAAATAAAGCAACTTCAACTTTATATTTGTAAGAAAAATTGTTTACGGGAAAAGTCTAGTTTCCGATTACAAGACATTTGCTCTCGCAGTAACAAGGAGTCATAGAGTGCACACAAGCCACATTTGCAATCAATACGCTAATTTTGCTTTTGATTGCCGTCAAGCTGAATATCATTTCGTTCAATCGATTACCATTCTGTGAACGAAACTATTTACGGAAAGGAAGTCTGGTACCCGGTTGCAAAACTCTGGCTTATTTCAAGGGTATAAAAAATCGTGTATGTTGACAATAGCACTGACACAGAACTTGTCTGAATTAGGAAAACACCTTTATATTGCCTGTTCTTTGACAAAAGAAAACAATACAACACAAACTGTATTTGGGCTCGCCTACATCAATACGTTGTTTTGCTTTTTAAGACGAACAAGCGTACAACGACAGTGAAACCTCGAAAAACAACACAAGCTGCGTCAGAAAATCTCGTTTTTCTAAATTTCGAACCCGTAGTTCCAAATTTTGAGATGGAATAATTGCGCTCGGCGTAGTTTTTTAGACAAATTTTTATTGTTGAACAAAATTTTAGATTACATGTTCAGATAATTTTAAAAATTGTTCTGAGCTCGGTTTTTAAAGATCTATTGCATCAGTGAACATTTGAAAGGCTATGAGTGGTGAAAATTGCGGCAATTTGATCTGGCTCAAAACCCAATATAAATTGACCAGGGACAAGATATCTGGACTTGTTACCAGGTTGCTAAACACTGACTACCTCCTTTCAAAATATTAGAAAAAGGAAAACTTAATTTAATTAGAATTTTAACTATTTTGAAATAGACTATACCCAAAATTATTCCAAAGAACTCAGGGTGCTGTCGCAATAACTGAGCCTTTGCCCCAATGCTAATATAATATAACCCAGACCCGTTTAACCGAAAACAGTTCGAATAAAAAAAACGAGCAATCGAAAACAGTTTGAATAAAAAAAAATCCCAGGCTTTGGAAAAAACTTGCTTGAAAACCGTAGATGATATAAATTGCAGTTGTTACTATCAAAAATGATCTGAGAGGTAGTTACATTTGAATTTTAAAGATATTGAGCATGACATATTGTACTTTGTACGAAATGCATTCTGTCAGTGCAGTAAATTTTACGTGCAAAAATTGTAAGAAAAGTAAAAAAGTTGTTTACAGTAAAAAAAAGTCTAGTAACCGATAACAAGTCACTTGCTCTCACAAGTGCAATTATGTTGCATGCTGCTGTTCACTTCACTCCTACATCAATTTCAGGTGAAATAAATGAACGAAATCCTCGTTTTAAATAGCATCAATGGGACGTCGGATAAATTATCAAAACGCATCCGAAATATCAATAATGCAATCAACTCGATTGCAATATCACTGATATTCGATAGCAAACGAATTCGGAATGAACTTCATCAGAAATCAGCAATCAAACCGCAAAAAAACTTGATCGCGATCAAAATTTACATGAATTCGAAATATATGCAATCAATACACTAATCATGCTATTAAATTCTTAACAGTATATATTATATTGTCATAATGATCACAAGGGTAATAAAAACCGTTGATACTGAAATTCTTCAACATTTGACATAGAACTTTTTTGAATAAGAAAAATAATAATTCGGTATGTCTGTTCTTTGACAAAAGTTTATAATACAACACAAGCTATTTTCGGGCTATGTTAGTACATTGTTTTGCTTATGACGAACAAATGTACAAAGACATGATTGAAACATCGAATGAGAACACAAGCTGCATTAGTAAACTATCTCGTAACGAATTTAGGAAGGAATATTTATGTTCGGTGCGTTTTTTCTTCGTCAGTTTTGACTCTTCTACTTCTCACTTTTGAATATTTTTATATAACCTAAGAAGTAAAAAAAACTTCGATTCCTAGGTAAAAGTTCTTTTGACTGGTAAGAAAAAGGCGGCAGTGGATCAAATAAAATATTTCTGCAAATTATCAAGAAAAACACTTTGCTGAATTGCGCAACTATGTATAAATCTAGTTGCCGCTTTGAATGCATTGTTTATCAACCAAAAAATGAGAACACAGCGCGCATTAAATAGCTCAAACCCGAAAATGATCACTCAAGCTATCGATATTTTCTATTCGAAATAAATAGACCACATCTGCAGGCACTAATATTCGCTTCTCTTAAGCGGAACAAAAATCGTAAAATAATTTTCCGTTGCAAAATCATGGCTTATCTCATATCACGGTTTTTATGACGAAAATGAAGGATGAAGTTTTTTTTAAAGTACAGGTAAACTTCCTTCCGAACAACAGATTCTTGATAGCATTTCACTTACAGCAGTTGACCCTTTCTCGACTGCCTCTTGCGCATATTCCACTTGGAACAGATGTCCGTCTGGGGAAAAGACTGTGATTGCTCTGTCGTACGAAGCAGACATTTTATAGCAGAATTGGAACTAACGTATTCTTCTACAAGCGATGGTTTTTTTAAAGTAATTGACAGCTTATAATTTCACATCAACTAGTGATTCCCGACGCATGCACAGTACAATGCTGATCTGAAATAAAACTACTGTCTTAAGAAAAAAAAACTGCGAGCAGCTTAAAGGTCAAGCCTGGCTACATATGAGATAAACGAACACTATTCGAGGGTCTTCGCGTCTTCTTCAAACTAAATTCTTGGCAATAAGCACAAATGATTAAGTTGTGAGAAAAGACATGTTCACTGCGTATAGAGATTGGATTTTTACAACTGTGGCAAAAACGCCATTAAAATCACTAAAATTAAATTATTCTTCACGGTATATTACAAGTTCAGCGAGCGACAGAAGCTTAAAATGTACAATTTAGCAGAACACAGGGCAGTCAGTTCGCTGCTAGTTTTCTTTGTCCGAATGAGGCTGTGAGATATTGTTCTCAAACTGTCCCATCATGTTGCCTGGGCACTTATAGTTGGCTACAATAATAGTTATTTCTCCGTTCTTCGCATACCCAAAGCCCGCATACTTGGTGCTTTTCCAGATTACTTGTGCAAAATGTCCAGTTCCGGGTTGGAACTCGAGCTTCGAAAAATCATAATCTTTCACTTCTTTGTACCAGTGGTAGACAACTTCATCGGCAGTCGGATTCAGTTTCAAGGCCTTGGCTACATTCTCTCCGTACCGTGGGTTATCGCTGTGTTTGAATTCATTATCCCTGATTAATTTTTCGGCCCATTCCTGGGCATGCACAGCGCATGAATTTGACCATTTTAGATCTGGAACTCCATGCTTGGCGCGATAGTTATTGTGTACTTCCAAGAGATCGAGCTTGAAAGGATCGGCAAGCTTCGGATCCGGTTTTCCTCCTTCTTCTTCTTCGTCTGAATTTTCCGCGTCGTCGTAAAATCCTTGCCGGTACTTCTCTGGATCAAGGCCTTTCTGTTTCAGTCCGCAGTCGAGACACATTATGTCGATACTCTGGTTCTCTTTTCCTTCAGCTAGAAAGTACTTCTCCACCAACGACAGCTGGCAAAACTTGCAAGCCATGCACACCTCATGCCATTTTCTCCCTTCAAACTCCATGTGCTTGTCGCCATCCAGACTAGTGATTGCTCGATTGCATGAAGCACATTTTTCCGCGTAAAATTTACCATAACAGTCAGTGCAAACTTCTTTGGAATCAATAGGGGCGAACTGTTTATCCCTTAGAGAAACTTGACAATCAGCGCACTTGAAACAGTCGGCGTGGAAAGGCTGATCCTCATGAAGCACTCCGTCATTAATAATTGCGTCGTGACATTTGGTGCATTTATACGCAAACTGCTCTTTAAAGCAATCCAAACAGTAGTTGTTACCATCAGACTTTGGATGGAAAGGATCGGAAGACAAAGTTTTCTTGCACGAAAAGCAGAACATACAGTCTGAATGATAGACATTGTCTCTCCACGATAGTTTCTTGGATCCAATTCGAATCACTTCATTGCACTTATTGCATGACGGTGAAAAGTTATCATCGAAACACATCGTGCAGTAAATTGATTTTTCCTTGAGAGCAAATCTATCTGCGGACAAAGCAGTCTCGCATTTAGTGCATACAAAGCAAGACTCGTGCCAATATCGATCTTCGTTGCAGTAGCTCTTGTATTTAGGGTGTATTTTCTGTTCGCAACCAAAGCAGCTATTTGCTAAGAACTCGTTATAGCAGTTAACACAATAGCAACCTTCGTCTCTTCGGACATATCGATGACCATTTAGATCATGTTCACACTTCACACATGAAAACACCGTTTCCTCATTTTCACCTGTCATTTTCCTCTGCAAAACGATAGTTTAAAATTATCAAGACAACAAAGTTACCCACCACAATTGTCTAATTTATATCATACAGTAAGAAAAATCAACATAAATTTTAGAAACAGCAAAAATAACCAGTTATTGATCAAACAGCTCGGAATTTTGCGGTCGTTCATTGAATGACAAAAAAAATCTTTGTTTCGAGCCATTCCCGAGCCTCAAAATAATGGATGTCAGCAAATTGTTGATCGAGGCTTCGCTGAGTTCATCGTAGACAAGTAAAATTTGTTCTTGGCAGCTTTCATGATACCTGCGATGTAACAGGTTGCTGAACCTGATTGCGCGATAACTACAGAAAACAATCAACTGGATGAGAGGTAACAGCTGCAACTAGCTCATGCAAACGGATTTGACTATCAATACAACCATGTCGCGACCAAATTTATTTGTCTTGTGACCAACTGCCAGCGTCTGAACACCTTTGCGGAAAAAACCAATGAATGATGCTGACCCAAAACTTACATTGAATGAACAATTTACTTCAAACTGAACCGCTCCGGTTTAACACATACCCTTGTTTCATTTGGACACTATCACGGGTTATTTTTTCAATAAATGTGTCTTAATTTCAATTCATGACCGAGATTTGACAATTATAATCAAATATAACCAATCTATTTTTTTAATTTACAAATGTAATTTACAATAATTCACATACATTTCACAGCTATCACTAATCCGCTTCAATTGGCAAACGCGTAACTATTTGAGTAAATAATAAACTTCTGAGAGCGCGTCGCTATCTCCCAATTGTAACATTCGCCCGGAAGATACATATCGACGGATAACAAAACTAAGTCTTAAGACGACTGGCCAGCGTCTAAACAGAGCTTTGCATGTTTTTCACCGTCTCTACCAAGCCAGTACTTTTCGGTGGTCTTTCTTACATCGGGTCGACAAAAACGTTACTGTTCTCCGGCTTCGACCAGAACGCTCAAATTAACTGAATTACATGCAAAAATAGTGAGCTCATGGCTGGGTCTCAGTATCCCCAGACCACGAGGTCACTCCTAAAAACAGGGCTACTACTTATTATATTACTATTGTTTTTGTTCAGTAGATAAAAATCATCATCTCCATCGAAGATGGATCAACCCTTTCCCCCAACCCCTAGCACCTCATCCTTGTCAAAACTAATCAAAATATCAGTTAAATTCAAGTCAGGACATGACAGGATGCTAAAAGTTTATGTGAGTTAATAAAAGTTTCCGTCCCGAGACCCTTCCGGATTCTTGAATCCGCCGAATCAAGCTCCTTACTCTTGATCTCTTGCTAATCCGGAAGGCTGGTTCTCACCCTTCACCGTTGTTGGCAACGGCCTTGCAACTATTGTAGCAGCACAATAGTTGCAACTCGGAACGCTCTCTGCTATTCTGTAGTTCGTTGTCGTTCTCCAATCTCGATTTTCGTACTGTTCGCAATCGCAGATAAAAGTTGTTCTCTTTTTCACTCGCTTTCTGTTAAAAATGGCCGTTTCAGCATTTCTCAGAAATGTGACGTCATCATTCGAATTTTTGAAAATTTAAAATACTAGAATATTCTAGCCCTCACCGTTTGGCTAAACGTTCCAATAACGTCGTTAATCCTTCGAAATCATCAACTCGGAAGGCTTACTGCTCAAAATTCGAATCCTGCATAAATTGCATTTTGGCCATTCTGGTCGAATGTCACATACTCCCCGGACAGTCCGGTCAATGTCCTCATTGAATCGCGCAATGTTCTAAATGGTTACAGTGTCATCGAACAGAATTTACAAAATGCACGAAATTACTTTTATCTACGTCACATCGACTCACTGCAGAATATAAATGGCATCATACTACATCACGGTAGCCTTCAAATTCTTTCATTAATCTGCACACTGAGGATATGACTTAAGATAAAACATATTTTCTGACTTCCAGTGTCAATGTCCCGATTGAAACTTTTTCTCCTAGATTTAAAAGGTGTTGGCTTGCAGGACAGTCCTGCCAACCAACAAGCTAAAATTATCCTACTATGCTCCTTCCCTTCGGAAATCTTGCTTGTTTATTGTCCTGAATATTAAAACCAAGAGACCTTGTGGTTAGAAAGAACAATGCAACAACCTCCCTCCTCAAGAAGTTACTCAAGTTTTTCATGTCACCACAAAGTGATCAGTCTTCCTAAGTGATTAAAAACAATCATGCAGGCTGGAATATTTAAATATACTCTTCCCTCAAGCCTTTCTAAATAAATAACAAGTGAGTGTCTCTAAAGCCACTTCAACTAAAACCAAAATGCAAATTTATAAATGCAACAATTTCAAAACTCAACTAAATGTTTCAGTTTTCAATTACAACTGGTTGCTTGGTTTCTCACTTGAGTTTTTCACACACATAAAACAATTCTGAGTTTTAACTTTTCTTCATCATCCCTTTGTTCTCTTCTTTTTTCGTCGTTTAGATGTTCTAAAACTTCTAAATTCTTCTAATTTTCTTTCTTGCCGCCTCTTGTTTTCTCGACCATTCGTCAATGCTCCATTTCCTCCTCCTGTGACTCTGACTCCGCACTCTCGGTTTCCGTGTCTTGTAGCACGTCATTGACTATCCTGACGCTGTTGGAAGCCGTCCTCCAACACTTCTGCTCTTCCACCCTCTGTTTACAGCAAGGTAGGGGATCCACGTTTGATTCTCTGTTTCTACAGAAGCTGTTGTGGAGACACAACGTCACGTTTCTCTCCAAATCTTCTTTCAGCATCTCTGCCTTCTCATTTCCACTACGCTCGCTCGTCCTGGAAATTCTTTTCACAGCGGTGGTCACTGCATTCCGATGGGTCACGAAAGCTCGCTTGAAAGCTCCTGCCCCAATGTCCAGCTGATATTCACTGTACACTCTGCCATGTTTCGACATATGCTTTTTCGCATACTCGTACAACCATGCAGTCATGTTAGCTCTGAACCATGGCATCAATCGTTTTCTTGCCCATATCTTCTTCACTTCCATCGGAATGTTTAGAACTTTGCACATTGTCTCAAAAAGATCTAAATCTTTTAGACAATCTAATTTCTGCAATTGTTCTCTCGTCGGTGCCTCCTGTCTATTATTTTCTCTCACATGAGCTTCCAGCCATCGTATCGCCATCATAACTCCCACAATCACTATTGTTATGGGCTGTGATGAATCTGGTAAACCCATGGAGAGCAGCTCTCCAGAGTCCCAGATCAACACCAAATTACTACGCTTGGGATACCACCAGGTCTGCAGCAAGCAGTGGCAAGGAAACTCGTCATGTGTCAACATGATGCTCCTCCAATTGCGCTTTCCTGAAGCTTCCAGCAATGGTTCCACTTCCATCATCACTCGGTGGATTTCATCATTCTCATCTACTGCATTGTAATCTGTGACAGTTGATCCTCTCTGTTTCTGTTTTTCAAAGTCACTGAAGTTCCCGCTCACATATCCCATGAACTTCTTTCCTAGTATTGACTCCAACTCCTCTTTGGTTCTCTCTGGAACTGCTGAGAACATCTTACATAGTAACTCGTAAGACTTTTCAGACATTCTCGCCAATCTCACGCACTTTGGCACTGAGAAAGCTTGATCCACGATCGTTCTTGTACTCTTCACGTCCACAGCCACGAAATGTACAGGGTATCTGCTCTTGCACATTGGAGCCAACGTTGAACCCACCAAATATCGTGCTCCTGATGGTCTACAATAAGTTTCGCTGTATCTGATGTTCATCTCTGTTTCGATTGCTTCCCTGCATTTTCCTATATACTTCTGCTCAGTCTGCAGAACTCCTGGGAATACTTCTACGCTGATGGCTGTGACCATCTCATGTTTCTGTTCTAGATTCAATAGTGACTCTAAAGAACCAAACATGCTGTAGAATCCTAGTGCTGTCACTAGATTCACATCGGTTCCTCCATGGCAATCTGCTATCAGTTCCGTTTCCGTTCTTGCTTTCATCACTACATTTCCAAACAATACTGTCAACTGCTTGAGTTGTTTTTCCAGGGTTTTCACACAGTCTAGACTTCCACAAACGTGACCCTCTAGTCCACAGACTTCCGCCAGACAGCTACCAGGTTTGACCCAGTCTTCTGGTCCCCAGCCAGGCAACTCCACTCTATCTTCTCCGTTGCTCTTAGAGGCTGTTATCATCACATTATATATGATGTTGAGGTCACGCAGGTTACAGTCCGCATTCAGTTCCCTCTGTATGTCTTGTGTCGCCCGTAATATTGAGTCAGCGTTGGGACTAGGACACCATGATGGCTTCATCAATTCCCACACTGCCATCAAGCTCGTTCTCAGTAATTCATCTGAGAATCCCAACCCAAATTCCATTCTCTTGTCGGATTTTGGTACTGAAGGTGCAGTCACCCCTTCTTCCAAGACCAATCCCAATTTGGCCTGTGGATTGTTAACGCTCTTAGTCGTTACAATTCTGGACGTCCAGAACCTTAGTAACACCGCCTGCTCATAATCAAAGAAGCAATCACGTATGTCCTCACTCAGGAAAGGATTGTACGCTATCCCTATGATCCCGGATACATAGCCATATGACTTCTTCTTGATCGGTCCACAGTATTCACTGGATTTCGGCAATGCTCCCATAGATTCTTTAGTGAGCCTCAACTCCTTGTTTGAGAATCTCCTGATCTCGTCTATCTTTTTCATGGGTTCCAATTCTTCAGGTTCTTTCATGTTCACCCTCATCGGTTTACTTTGCTGCATATCCAGCATTGCTAGTAAGAACATGGCTTTCGTTCGCTCATCGCCTTCCTTCAACATTTTAACACAAGTGCTTAATGCAGGTACTGAGATCTGCTCTATCAGGAATCGAATGAAACAGAGAGCGTCTCTCCGCTTTGCACACGCTACTGCTGCTCCCTCCTGGACTATCAGATCCCTCAGATTCGTCATAAGGAAAACTTTTTCCTCCTTTGATCTCTTCCTTTCTTCCGAATCATATTCTTCGCGAGTCAGTCCCATCATGCACCAGGCGAGCCTGAGTTGTAATTCT